ACAGATAAGTAAGAGAATTGAGGCAATGTTATACACGTGAACATACGGAAATGGTCCAGTAGTAGAAATGTCAAGAAATGATTTAGCAATGTAAGTTTAGTAAGTTTGCAATGAACAGAGATCACATTACGAATAAAGAAAAATTCACAATGTTTGCTAGTTAAACTAACAATGTTTGTACTGTCTAGTATTAGAAGCGCGCTGGTATCAGGGAACTACACGTGTGAAGTCCATGGTCAATGCAAAATTTTTTGTAGATACTGATTAATTTATCGATGCAATGATAGTGCTAGAATTTATCGAGAGATGAGCATTGTTAGATCATTTAATTTTTTCTCATTTATCGTAATCGAAACATTTAGGTCAATTTTCTTATAAACGCGTGGTTTTTTTTTTTTTTTTGTTTTTTTTTCTTCTAGCATATTGCAATGTAACGGCGATTGCCTTGATTAGATTACTAAGGTGTAACACAGACTATCTGTCGGTAATTTCTTGTCAAAGTCTAAAGTTAATGTCATATGCTTATACTATATAATAAGAAATTAGAATCTTCATTGATTCGGGCTATAAAGAAATACGTGAGGTTTCATTGACATTTTCGACGTATTGAGCATTGCTAGTTTATGGTACTTGTCCTATCGTCATGAGAGGAAGGTTTGCTCGTTAAAAATAATTCTCTTTATATTTTTGAGCACCAAATGCTTTTGTGAATTGTTCTAGCTAGATATTTTAATTAAAAATTCCCCGTGACGTGAGGTGCTTTGAGCGTAATAAGCTATAATTATTCTGTGTGGAAATATCCCAAATCGTTGCCTAAATATTCAACAACTATATTTGTAAATTAAATGATTTTTCAGAATGAAGACTTGATTTTGTATAACTTTTTACAGTTATTATTAAAATTGAAAATTCGTAAGCTCATATTGAGAGTGTGTAGACAAAGGTTTATATAAAATTAGCCTTTTCTGTATTAAGGTGATATATTTTTGAAAAGAGAAATAAATTCTTAAATTCCTCATATTAACGTGCCATTAAGAATTAAAAAATTGCATAAATTAATTTTCAGGCGTAGATCTATAATTATACTTTGCAAATACCATTTTTATTAATATTTCTCTTCATCGCTTAACGGGAATATTTCGGTGTATAGGCCGATCGAAGATTGTTTTAACGCAGCAATCTATCACGCTTGAAATTATTATTCTTGGCTCAAAAACATATTTCTTGCATGTACTTGCCTCGGTTAATGTATTTCCCATTATTTAGTTTATAACTTTTTTTCAACTCATTATTTTAGTTATAAATCTTGTTAATTTGTATCATAATAAATAAATTAAATTTGAATTGTACGGACGAATTGTAAGTAATAAACTTTGGGAAAAAAAGGTTATAAAAGTTTATTTGTAAATTTTTCTGTTCCCTGGTAGCAACGGCTTGACATAGTGTCTACGTTTATTGTGCCTATTATTAGTAATATTTACTACGTTTATTCGTTATATTATCATTTTATTATAATAATTATTATTATTATTATTATTGTTGTTATTGTTGCTCCAAAAAAAAATTTGTTTTTGAAGTTTGTAACAATTAATTTTCATTAATTCTAATTTTTGCATATATGACTTTTTATAAATTTTTCATTACTACGAATATAAATACAGATATTGCGTATTATATATAAGTTACAAACGGAAAACAGCGAATATTGTTGACAAAGTTGATCAACAGTCATTATAATTCAATATATTTGTGCGCTTATTTCATTTGTATTTTTATGTTCTTTTCAAAAATTTTCTATTATTTTTGAGGATTGGCGTGAAACTTGGAAGGAATTTTCCTTTTTTTCTTTCTTTTTTTTTTTTTTTTTTTTTTTTAATTAACCGACAGTTCCACAAGATTATTCATGCGCATTATTAATATTATTTGCAATATAATATAAAACATTCACACAAGTTTCATTATTTTATCAGTAGTTTTTAATTTCATAAATCTATTTCGATTATTAATTGAGTTATGAAAGAATCGCATTAGTATAATATTTACAATTACAAACAAAAGTTCAAATCTCCAATAGCATTTTTCTAAAAGTGCTGCGACAAATTAACTTAATAAAGATTTATTTAATTCCTGAAAAAGTAATTATTAAAATGTCAAGTGATTATATAGTTTTAAAAGTGCACAAGAATTTAATTGGAATGTACGTCACATAATTATTGGTAATGCTATATGTAAAAACATAAATGTCCAGCAATATATTTTAAACTAAAAATCAACAAAGAATATAATGAATATACTATTAATATACGATTCAATTTTAGTTATTTATCTTGTCATTTACCATATTTATTTTTCATGTATAAGAATTTTTAACTGTATTTATAAATGTGTGTAATTTATATTAAAAATGTTTTTTAATTATATTTTTAGTTGTTTTCATACTACATTTGAAAATAAAAATTAAAAATTCAATTAAATAACTACTTAACAGTTACATTATAAAATCATATGTAATCATTTAAGTTAAAATTCTAAAAACTAAAATTTTTTTTATTATACGAATCAATAAAGAAATGTAAACATTCTTAAATCTAAAATTAATTAATATAGTAGTACTAGTGTTACTATTTTTTTTTTTTTTTATAAGAAATTATGTCAAGACATCTGTAATAATTAATATTCTTATTGGCCTAACAGAAGTAATAACTAGGCGCTACCGCGCCTTCACTGGTAAATGTGAGTTTTATTAAAATCCAAGCTTACTATATTTATAATGTATGATTTAAGTACTTCATTCAGCATAATACATCATATCTTTGTTTTATTGTCTTGTTTTATTGTATGTAATAATATATATATATATATATGTAGTATTTTTATTTCGTAAATTTTTGTTTAGTTGGTGTTTTATTGATTTTCTTTTTATTAGTTTAAATATATATATATATATATATATATATATATATATTTATAACGAAATCCAGTGACGTACATTCTTTTATTATTCAGTTTTTATCTTTTCAATTTATATACAAAGACAAGAAATACGATTAACAAGTCATAAGCCAACGTGCTTTTGATACATATAATGTAAATATAAACGAAGTCAATAGTCCAAATGTATAGAATTCACCGTTTTATCCGATGCGTTGATCGGAGGATGTAAAATAAAGAGGGTAGGGAGCGGATACACGTAACGTTTCAAGTTAATTTAGGCTTAAGTTTCATGTAAAATAAAAAAAAAAAATAATAAATATACACGCTTTCAAAGAACGATCGATAACTCAGTGTGTTCGTCAGAAGACGGAATATATCAGCTTCAAATGATTCCGCAATGTCAAAAGGATTTAAAGATCATCGATTGAAATACCTCTGTACTCTGTAAGCATATTACTATTAAAACAAAAATAAATCTTAAGACTGAATAAGAACAGATTTTATTTACTTTTCCACTCCTGTGGCAATGCTTTTTGATGGAATTTATTAGCTAATTCGCCGATAGAGCAAGACTATTTGGAGAAAGGAAAAAAAAGTTACGAAACAATTCTTAAAAAAAAAAAATAATAATAATATTTTTGGTTAATTTATATAAATATTAATTATTGTCAAAGTTGACAAAATTAGTATTAAACTAGAAATTATAGTGCGATATTTATAATATAAGTAGACTGGGATTTCACGTGAAATTTATGTAATTTAATCAGGGCAATAGTATGCTAATGATAAATATAAAATAACATGTAAAGTAACTTTTTATACACGGACTTATAATTATTCACTCGAACTTTTATAAATAATAAATTTAAATAATTCATTGATATATTTTTAATGAGCTTGGATAAAATACTCAGGTATTTATTAATTACTTATCTTATTTTAGTAATAAAAAATTCATTTACAATTACGTAGTATATTAATTTATAGAAATAAATAAATTATTTACTATTCGATTATGAAATCATTTTATTATAATAAATATATAAAATGTTTCATATATGCATATATACTTATTTAAATTGATCATCTACGAGATTAATGTCGTGTAATGTGAAGAATGTAATAATTATATAATTCACATTATTATATTACTGTACTACAAAAAGCTAATAGTTATTAAATATTGGATTGTTTACAATTGCTTTTTGTATAAGAAAAATATTGTTTTATAACAATATATTTGATAGTACGATAAAACAAGTATTTTCAGTTTGATATTTTTTTTTTATAAATTAAGCATATCAAACAATAATATACAACGGACATATTTAAGAACAATAATTTTTTTACTAATTAACATAATTTATGTGAGTTTTAAAAGTTCTCATATTAGAATTATATTGTTATGAAGCAATGCCTGACTTTTTTTTTAAAGCAACACATGGTTTTAGATAAAATAAAAAAAAATGCAATGCTGAGTATGAATTGATCGATATACAAGGCTATTTGATGCAACAAAGGAAATATTTTAAATGAAAATCACAATACTATTTAACGAGCTGTATAAAATTATAATCAAATATATAGGAAGTTAAATTAAATATTAATAAATCATTATCAAAATCTATTATTAATTACATATTTGAATTAAGTCCAGATTATTGAATAGTTTTAAGTAAAGATTATTCTTTGCTTTATTGCAAATGCAATAAATAAAAATAAAAAAAAAATAAAAAAAATTATATGAACTTAAATTCTTTGTATTAGATGAATTGTAAAAATTATATTATCCAAGTATAAACGACAATATATATTATTACCTGTAAAAAGGAAGAGAAGGCCGGCTTATATATACTTGTGTAATATTCAAAAGCCTTGGGATCCAGAAACTTTGAATATACTATATATTGTAAGATTTCAATTTTTGCAAAATATAATAAATATAAAAATCGCTTGTAATACTCGACTTCTTAAAGATATTCTATTCTTGAAAAACATCTCTTAAAATACGAATGTTGAAGAAACACTATGACGAAGATTACAATATTAAATAGTAACGTACAAATATTTTAAAATATCACAAGAAGAACGTAGATTAAGTAGTCTTAAAATGTTAAATAATAAAAAATCTTTTAAACACAATGTCAGATGTAATAAAGTGAATTTTTCAATGCATGTCAATAAATCTAATGAGATTAATCTTAAATAACTCTTAAAATACTCTTATTATTTTATTATAAAATACTCTTATTAATTTTACGGCAGCATAGATTTTAATTATTAAAATTATTCAACAAAAATAAGCGATAATTTGTTAATTTACTAGTACTAGCACTACAATAAAAAAGAAAAATTATAAAATAAAAAATAAAAGTACACGAATAGCAAAATTTGAAGTATTTGTATAATAGAAAATATTTTTTAACAAGAGATTCATTTTTGTAAACACAATTTTTATGATTTCTGCTCCTAGTCGTTGCACTCGAATGATTCAGCTCTATTAACTTAAAAAGAAAAAGTATATATTCATATGATTATACAACGAACCAAAATGAACATCTAAATCTTATGTGATGTATTATAATGCAATTTGCATGCAATGAGCCATTATCTTAGAATTTATGAACAATCGATCGTCTTACAATACATCAAATGTGCTACAGTTTTATCTAAAATATTCTATTTCATTAAAATTTCTAAACCTCTCGATTGATTTATACGCTTATTGATACTTACATATTTTTGAATTATGTACAATGTACATTAAAAACTAGTAAATTTTTTTTGTTTCAAAATTATCAAAAATATATTTTAATATATAATATTTGTATCTATAAGATATTTTCAATATTCAATTGGCTATTGGATAAATTTATTTTTTATAAAAAAAAAAAATAAATAATGATATTAATACAGCGTATCATAATATTTCAATAATAAATATTAATTTTCGCTAATATTAAATTATAGTGCATTAGTAAGCTATGAAATATAAATTAAGTAAAATTTTTCGAAAATCTGTCATTTTTTAAGATTATATCTGAAGAAAGAATTTTCTGAAATTTACACATTTTCACAGATGCCTGAATAATTAATTTAGAGCATTTTATTTAAAAAATAGACATTGCTTAAAAGCTTAGATACATGAATAATATTTAAACGAAAATCTCGAAATAAAAATAAAATAAGGATGTGAAAAGACAATTTGGTAATTTAAATCTAAAATGATGATAATAGTTTATCCGTTGTAATTAATGAAATTAATAAGTCAAATAAAGAAAATTACCCGTTAAAAGCGCTTATTTATATTCAACTGGTTATTTTCAATTCTCCGTTCTACAGTAAATAAACATTTTCTATATTATAATTACTCATTTGCATCAACAAATGAATAGCATCGAAACGATTAAATTATTAATTCAAGCTTCTTGTAATCTGAAAATAACAATTTTACTATAAAATTTTTTCTTATTGTTAATTATAAAGAAGGTTATTTATAATTGATATTTTTATATATAATTTAAGCATTTGTGCAGTATCGATGTAAAATAATTTATCGAGGTACTTGAACTCAAAATTTGTTAAAATGGTAGAAATTTTAGTCACTAATATCGTTTTAAATCACAATTTTAAATTGTAAAATAATTTCTGCTGTTACTTTTACGGAATACCTATATATAACCTTTAAAGTATTATTCATTATCTTATAATGTTAAAATATACGTTAAGTGTATAAATGCTTGAATATTTATAAACACGATTAAAATGATTTAATAAGATTAACACTCGTAATCGCTGGTTATAATTCAGAGTTATTTCCTTTAACTTTAAACACTATTGATTAGCTTAGAATGCACTGAATTTTGTGTGTGTGTGTGTGTGTGTGTGTGTGTTTGTTTGTTTGTGTTTGTTTGTTTGTTTGCGTGTATAATATAACTTGAATATGATTTTTTGCCATAATTCAACTGTATATAAAAGAAAAAAGAAAAAGAAACAACAGATAACATTTAAAGGAAATAATTATTATTTACAACTATAGAATATCACGATTTTTCCAAGTCAGTAAATTATTAAGAATAAAAAAAAAAAGTTTGTCGATACATCGTGTGCTATGGTCAGATAAAACACGTGCATGTAAATTAAATAAAATGAAAAAATACAAAATCAATAAAGAGACTTCAGACTAAAAAAAAATGCATGCACAATGTATATATAAAAGAAATGATTAAATTACATCTTATCTCTTGATATATGAATAAATGTGAATGAAATGTTTTACCGCCAACTCAGGAACTTTACTTATTAGAATGTCACACGTTCTGACGATTGGCAAATTTATGAAAACTGTGAAAATGCGCTGTAAATGAAAGAAAAGCCACATAGTATCTATCCCTGCAACATCTCAATTTCAGATAAAGAACCTCGTCGTGACAAAGGGATGATCGGGGCTCGATCGGTAATGTCGTTCGCGCGAGGAATTGTCATGTGCCTGGGGCGACGTCGGCAGCACTGAATGCACCCCAAGCTCGTATCCAAGGGGGTTGACGAAATGCGCCGGCTAAATATGCGCAAGGCGATTAAATCCGATTTACCTAAGGCACATAATTAAATGATCCGGTTAAGATCGCCCGGGGCTTCGGGCCGCAACGAAGCCCCAGCGAGTCTATATGAGGTCGCGCGCCCAAGGCAGGTACCCGTCACTTCTGGGCGGGAAAAATCAAACTCCCGGTGAACGCCGCTTCGTCGGGTTTAATTTAACGTTAATTTAAGGCCCAACCGAGCTCCCTAATGATTGCCATCCTATTTCTGGTGTGCGTCGTCGCCGTCAAGGTTTTCAAAAAGATCACCCCTAATGGTGAGTGCGCCTAGTTTACCTTCCCACGATCTCTCGATCAACCATCATTTCTGTGCCACAGGCAAGCTCACGGTCTACCTTGGCAAGCGAGACTTCATCGATCACCTCGATTTCGTCGATCCTATCGACGGGATCGTCGTCGTCGAGAATGACTACCTCCAAGGCAGGAGGGTCTTCGGTCAGGTAAAGAGCGATTCCTTAATAACGTTTAATTCGTGGCAACCGTTCATCTCACCTATTATCATTGCCATTAATTTCATTGCCATTAATTTTGCACTTTAATCGATAAATTCACCACATCGTACGTTTCGCGCGAACTCGCCCTCCCCACTCGACCTCGGAAGTTTACAAGAAGTAAGGATTAATTGGGTTGGCTAGGTAAGCACTATCTACCGATATGGTCGAGAGGAAGACGAGGTGATGGGCGTAAAGTTCAGCAAGGAGATGATCCTATGTCGAGAGCAAATAATCCCAATTAAGAAGGAGAAGCAGGAAAATACAGCGATTCAGGAGCGATTGCTGCGAAAACTTGGGCCCAACGCCTTTCCCTTCGTCTTTCACTTCCCAGCCAATTCGCCGAGCTCGGTAACTCTGCAGCCGGGCGAGGACGACCAGGGCAAGCCTCTCGGTGTCGAGTACACGGTGAAGATCTACGTCGCGGAGTCCGAAGATGATAAGGTACATCGATGCTCGCTCCTTAAACGTTGATTAATCGTTATAATAAAACTAGGAGATCTATCGTTCGTCATCAAGGCACTCTAATGATTATTATACGAGTCCCCGCGATTAATAATATAACTCGATTTCAAGGCCCTTTTACTAATGCACAAATAGCGCGAGCAACAATCCGATTGATTACGCGATCATTACGAAACAGTTCACTTTCAGCTGTAATCATTGTTAAAATCAATTAATATTTGGAAATATTACATTTGATTTCAAGTTGCTGACGTCAAGATGGGCGAATGTAATAAAGATTGCCTTCACAATTAGATTATTAAAAGTAGGAAAAAAGATATTAATAGTGATCGATATACGGATATCATTTGTAATTTGTCGCGTAATTATTAATATTAAAAGTGTATAATGACGGGAGTATCGTACAGTGAGAACTTAAGAGCAGCCACGTAATATTTCAGTTTGCATTAATAATTCTTCATTCCTTTTCTCGCCCAGGGACACAAACGATCTTCGGTCACCTTAGCAATTAAGAAATTACAATACGCCCCACCAACGCGCGGCCGCAGACTTCCAAGCTCATTAGTATCAAAGGGATTTACGTTCTCTCAGGGAAAACTTAACTTGGAGGTGACGTTAGATAAGGAAATATACTATCATGGCGAAAAAGTTACGGCTAATGTGATTGTTACCAACAATTCCCGCAAAGCAGTTAAGAATATCAAGGTGAGCATTAACCGAGTTCGAGCATTTTTTTATGCGATCGCGCGCGTGACATAAGATAAAAAATTCGAGGGATTTTATATGTTTAAGCTACGATTAATTATATTGAAATTGTTTAGTCGAAAGCAAATGGTGATATTTCGAGATTAGATCTATTTTGGATTTCTTTGGTGATTTTTGCGTGCTATTTTTATAAACACTTTAGGTACTAAATAACGTGAATCAATTTTTCAAAGTCTAACGATCATTTTTAGAAGAGAATTGTATTACTTGGTCAAGTATATATATATATATATATATATATATATATTTCATCGAACTTGATAACAATTTATAAAATTTTAATTAATTTTTTGGCTCTTTTTACACACAGTTTTATCTACATTTATACTAAATAATGATAAACGCATATAAATTTCTTTATGCGTACCAAATAGTTTGGTAATATTGCTGAATTAAATGTTATATAGTATTTTATTAGTACATGTATATTAATAACAATTGATGAAATTATAAATTGGACTTACAAATTGTATTATTATTAGTCGTATAGGTAATTCTACTTCATAAAATATTCACTGGCAATTGTAAGAAATAAAAGGTGATTCTCTAATGGAGCGCATCATCGGTTTCCTAAGAATGCAATTGCTATTAAAATTTGTTACTAACGTATTAAAAAGTCAGCATTAGATTAGTGTACCGAGCGAATGGCTCGAAGGAATGAAACGAGCGCTAAATGCATAAATGAATTAAGCAAAGAAAACGTAAAGTATTTAAAAAGAAAAGAAAATCTAGTAACTTTGTAGGCATTCTTATTAGATCGTCGATGTGACGTGCGCGCACACACAGAGAATGTGTCTTTTTTATTTTATTATTATCATTATCATTATTATTATCATTATCATTATCATTATTATTATTATTATTATTATTATTATTATTATTATTATTATTATTATTATTATTATTATTATTATTATCATTATTATTATTATTATTATACTATATTTTTTGTCGTTTACGACGTCATTAGATAAGCTTACCGAAGAAAATTTCATAACTCCGCAGTAATGCGCTTAGGTTGCAAGGCAAATTCCATTAAAGACTCGATTGCGTGGCACTTGCTGTCCGCCAAAGTAATGAAGAACCTCGTCCGTTCGAGGTAGCGTAGCCGAACGCTTAACACTAAGCCAATGCGAGAACAAACCTTTATGAAATTAAATAATGCCTCGTCAACTAACAACCCCAAAACGCTCAATATCCTCGGCAATACGCTGACCTCTATTCGTTCCCAGATATTCGTGGTACAACATTGCGAAGTGACCATGGTAAACGCTCAATTCTCTCGCCACGTGGCCAGTCTTGAGACTCGGGAGGGCTGCCCCATCACACCGGGCGCATCATTCACCAAGCAATTTTATCTCGTGCCGTTGGCCAGCAGCAACAAGGATCGCCGCGGTATCGCCCTCGATGGCCATCTCAAGGTAGGCGAGCTCGCAGTGAGCGACAGCCCGATCGGCCCTATAAGCGAGCCTTCTCTTTCAGGACGACGACGTCAATCTCGCCTCCTCGACGATGGTCGCTGAAGGCAAAGCGCCCAATGATAACATGGGTATCGTCATCTCTTACTCAGTGCGTGTTAAGCTGAATTGTGGTACACTTGGCGGGGAATTGATCACCGATGTACCCTTGAAACTCATGCATCCCAGCCAAGGTAAATAAGGTTTTGTACGAGATGCGATAAAGTTTGAGAGCTGAGGAGCGTGTCGGAGGGATGGATTGATGAGGGATGGGGAGGGGGGATATTTTATTACGTTGGGAGTTGGGTCTTGGTAGGTTGACTCGCGATAGATATCCCAATGAGACCGGCCTCGCAACTATTTATCTACTATCGCTCGCGTTTCTTTCTCGATGCCAAACAAAATTGGCCTCGTCATTTGGTTGTAATTGTGTGTTCTCGTCGAATATTATGTAATCGAAAGATTAGGGGAAGGGTTGACAAGTGTTTTTGTATGTTGCCGTAGGGCCGTCGAGTAGAATGTTTATGATCCTTTTATCGTGTTGCAGCCTAATGCAAAATGGTAACATTAATTTCCTTTAGCCTCTTACTCTCCTTTTTTTTTCTTTTCTTGTTCTACTAATTTTCACACTGTCGTTTCGAACGACTATTGGGTTAATTTATTTAACTTCAGCTCTCGTTATCTGAATTCTCTGAATAGGAGCTGGTGGCGGAGATGGAAAAGACACGAAAGCTGCTATGAAGAAGACAAAGAGCATGGAGAGGAGTCGATATGACAATTACGCCAACGACGACGACGACAACATCGTTTTCGAAGACTTCGCACGCTTGCGATTAAACGAGCCCGAATAAATTGTGACTGGGCTATAAAATGTAATACAGGGCGCTCGTTCTGAAAGAATATAAATTTACGACAATGAATCGTGAAATTTTATACGAATTAGTTGGTATTTTGCGAAACTGCGGTAATTCGACGAGGAGGCCTTTATGAACGATGAAGCGCTTTTTTCAACATTTCTTCTTTCAGAACGAGTAATTGACAAGATCTAACGAAGCCTAGAAGGACACGCGCTTTAAAATGAAAAAGAAAAAAATAATAAAAATAAATAAATGAATATATATTGACAACATAGCATATGCGTTCGCTTAAGAGTATATACAATGTATGCCATTAGAGCGCGACATATAAACAAAAAAAAGAGAAAAAAATTATTTGAAAACTTCGTTAACATCGCTTTGGGGATCTTCTTTCGATTGTGGTGGTCGAAAGGGAATTTGCCGCGAGGCGAACAAAAAAACTTGATTTCAAGTAAGCTTAATCATTAATATTTAACGTTATAAAATAACACGTTTCCTACCTTACCAGAAGTGACATGCATCTAATTAATTAAAATACCTATTTCTTATAATTGTGGATTATAGTGGGCATTTATTATCGATAAAGTCTATTGATTTCAGATATTGTTGAGTTTTTGCTGTACATTAGAGATTATATAAAGTAATAATAAATGATAAATTTATTTCTTCATCGATAACTTATTGATAATATTATTGTATCGTTAAACCGTTATTTTATTATCATCATTATTATTATTATTGTTGTTGTTGTTGTTGTTGTTATTATTATTATTATTATTATTATTATTATTGTTAATTTTGTTATTCTTGTAACTAGAAATATAACAACGTTTGAATAAAATAATATTATAATAAAATATTTACAAATTCTTTTTATAAAACACATCATTTTATTTATACAAAATATTATACATTCTTTTACTCGCATTCAATCGAACATTTGTTGTTGCTGCAAGTACATTAAAAATAGATCGACGATTGTCTCAGTCATACATTGAAGAATAATAATCTTGATAAATTTGTATGTACGCTTCTTTTTCCGCCGCAGTCATTTCAGCAATAAGTGTATCATTTACATCAGTTATTACAACACTTTTGCCATTTATACTAACAGTTGGTATTTGGTCTTCGTCGTCGGATTCCATTGTTTCAATTTCACCTACAATAGCATTAAAAAAAAAACATTTGCGTACATTCAAATCAAGACTTTTCAAAATATTACACAATTTATTAATGTAACATTTACATTTTAACAAAATTGAAAGTATATGTTTACTACTACATCGGCTTTAATACATTTTTTTTCTCACTTATCACAGATGAGTTTAAATTTACCGACTTTAAAATAACTTGATTGAATATATTTCTAAATGATATTTAGAGAAAATATTGATCGTTATGAAACAATTAAGGGATTTCAACGATAATGTTTAAAATTAGTAATATAATGAAATAATTTTTAATCCAACATTCTAATTTTTCGTTCCGTTTATAAAAGCTTATAGAACAAATTTATGACTTTGTGATTGAGTTTTATTATAAAATCACTTAATATGACGTGCAAAATACAATTTATTAGTAAAGATTTTTAAAATTTACGTTTTGCTAAATTATATTGTATATATATATATTTATCGAAACACAGAGATTAGAGTATTTGAAACACACTCCCCGTAAAGCAAAATATTGCATAAATATCACTTCATTAATGAAAAAGTAGCTAAAACATGTGCATATTATTATTTATAAACTAACCTGTGTCAGCTACTTTCATATCTCCTCTATCTTCGTTATCACTGCTATCACTTGATTCATGAGGCAATACTGTCTTTACAGCGCTAGCGTTTATTCCACCTTTCTTTTCGTGTGCCAAGAGCACGGACATTATATCTTCACCTTGTTTATTGTTGGTTGCATTAGCATTCGTGGCGGTAGCAGCAGCCTTTTCCAAAATACTATCTTGAGTATTTCTTAATTCATTCTGTAGAAAAAAGAATTTATAGTAAAGCAAGCATGGAATCAATTATTATAATATTATTACCTGTAATGGGTCGGAAGTAATGATTGTGCTTTCCATTAACCAAATTGGTCTTTCTTTTCTTATGCTATTAACATTGTCATCTTGTATTTCATTCCCTATCAATACATCGACTCTCGTATCTTCCACAACAAATCCAGATGATCTAGTAGCTTCTCCCGACCATTGTTCATTAGGTCCACGTATATTATTTGATTTCTTAGTGTCAATGCTGCGAAACAATGTTGTATAAATATTTGCATAAAAGATTAAAGGCAAATAGAAATAAAAATTTTACCCTCTGATTGTATTAATATCAACGGGTTCGGGTTCTAAGATTTCTGGTGCTAATTTAATTCCTTCGACTTCTCGTAATAAAATATAGAGAGGTTCTAATTGCTCGTTAAATTTTGCTAAAAGCAATCGTGAATCTTTTTTGGGTAGGGCGGATTGGTCTTCTTCAACTATTTCTCGACAATATGTACATCTGAATTCTCCAGTAGTCATATCGAATAATTGATCTGCCTTTGAACAAATTTTAAAATAGCAACAATATAATTTACATTCTTAATAACATAAACTTAGAAAGCAATATTTTGAATAAACTAACTTCCAGATCTGTAAAAGTTTTTAAACAACTTGTGCATTTAAAGCTGGCTCTACTTGTTGCATCTCGTTCCTCAGTTTCCATTCTTTTTCTCATTAAATCTAATTTATATTTTACTACATTCACAAATGTCTAAAGTTAAAAAAAAGAAAAAAAAGATCCATGATATAATTTACAATTCTTTAATTGCAAGCCATAAACAATCATACCTTATAATTAATAAAATAATAATTGACTTTTTGTGCTTTTCCATCCGATCCGGTTTCCATTTTTAATCTAACTTGAATAAATTTGTCATTTCGCAATGTTGTTATACGTGCTCTTAACATTTTTTTATCAAATTTAAGTAAATCACAGATATCGTCTTCTTTCATACCTATTAGTAAATTTTAATGAAAATTTTGTATAAATTATAGGACAATATAAGGATATTGGTACTTACATGGATTTCGAACTAGCATATCAATAATGAGCGCATCTTCAATTGTATAAAAACCACGTACTACAAGACGGGCTAATTGTTTTAAACTACTAGGAACTTCTGTTATCAATCTCTCTTCAGAACTCATTTCAATGCTGTAAGATGAATAAAAAATTTGTATTAAATCGCCTACATACTTATATATTTATGCAATTTTTATATGAAACTGTGAAACGTAATTTTATTAAAATTTTTTGAAAACTCTACAATTTGTACTTACAATAAATAAACAATGTTTAAATTAAAAAAAAAAAAGAATAGAAAAAAAGAAGGATAATCATTTTAACTTTAATTTTATACATAATACCTTACTGATTGTAATTATAAATATTTATATTTATATGTATATATATCAAAATCCTAGTTGAATAAAATGTGCAAGGCATGGTATTAAAAATTAAATATTTGTGTATTTAAGGAAAATAATGTTTTTAATTTAGAAGAATAGGTAAATGTAGGTAATTGCATACATAATTAATAATTATTAACAGTGGATACTTCTTCATTCATTAATAAATTGATAAAAACTTCGATCAAATTCGTTGACACACACTTGAATTCCATCTGAAGCCCATTCCTTTCATATGCTGGATTTTAAGGTTATGAGCTCTGTTAGCCATAAAACCAAGCACCTGTCAAGGAGAAATTTGTACACAAACAGTATCATTCCAATGATATTATAAATTCTTAGATTGTAAGTAATTGATGGCAGCCATTGATAAAGTGAAAATTATTGTCGTTGGAGATTCAGGTAAAAATTTCAAAAACATTGTTAGAAATATTTTTTAACTTTTTTTGGAACGTTGACGTGTCATTTTGAAAAATTTTAATGCAATGCATTGCGATAATATTGTGCGATGAAAGCAAAAATTTATAATGTGATTATCAAATAATATTTTATTGAAAATATAAAACTATTAGCAAGTACAGAAATAAAGTTGATATTAAATGCATTTGTAGGTTACGCATGCAAAAATTATCAATATTTATTTATTCTTTTATACAAATTTAATTAGGTGTTGGAAAATCATCTCTAACCCATTTAATTTGTCAACAACAACCAATTAGTAATCCATCGTGGACAATTGGTTGCTCGGTAGAAGTGAAATTACACGAATATAAGGAAGGTACGCCCAATCAGCGAAGATATTTTATTGAATTATGGGATGTTGGAGGTAGTCAAAATCATAAAAATACCAGATCTGTATTTTACAGTCCAACAAATGGTAAAATATATTTGATTAAATATAATATTACAAGTAATAATAAAAATAAATAAATATAAATATCTTCTATAATATGGAAAATAATTATTAACTTACAGGTATTATACTTGTACATGATTTAACAAATAGAAAATCACAACAAAATTTACAGAAGTGGCTGGAAGAAATTTTGAATAAAGACAACAATCATTCAAAATGTAAATCATTTGATGATTTTGATCCAGAGAAATTTGTAGGGTCAACGCAGGTTTGCTGCACTTACTGAACAAATTCGTGTTAATATTGACTTAATACATATCTGTTGTACGTTTCTTTTAGATTCCAATGTTAGTAGTTGGTACAAAATCAGATTTAATAGCTGAAGTAAGATCGAGTATTCATAGGCGCTCTTCAACTATTGCCGAAGAATGTGGTGCCGACGAAATCTTTTTGGTAAAAATATTTTGTTAACGTTAGTATAATTTGTTATACAAAATAAAAATAATTTAATGTTATGCTCAATTATAGGACTGTCGGCAAACACGATCGTTAGCCGCTGGTAGTAGTTCGTCTGTAAAATTAAGTAGATTTTTTGATAAAGTAATTGAAAGGCGATATTATATAGTCAAAGAAGGAGTTAATTATGACCAAAGAAGGATTCCTATTTACAGCTCACAGTATAGTCCGAAACCTTATCATAATGATTAATAATAATTTCTTTAATTAAATAAATAAATATGAAAAATGTATATATTTCATTAAATGAAATTTCATATAATTTTTAGGCATTTAACATTTTTACATTCTGTTAAAGATACGTATAGATATTATTTTATTTTACTATTATTTGTTTCTTTTTTTTTAAATAACTAATTAAATAAATAAAAAGTCTTTTTCATAACATATTATATCAATGAAATGAATTAAATATAATTTATATGTATTTCTTAGATTTATCCACTATCGAGATTATTGAATTTTTATAATTTATATATATATATATATATATATATATATGTATATTATTTATAAAATATGAATATAATTTTTATTACCGACAATAATGACAATATAAAATTAAGAAAAAATTTCACAGTAAACATCATTTATCCATTAATATCCTCTCATTTTTTTCATAGGTACTTTTGGAATAATTAACAATTTATGTATCTCTTTCTTTTCAAAATATCGTTATAAGCTTTTCCTTTGAAATTAATTTACGTACCCATTTCTCTCATTTCTTTAAATCAAACCGTTTTTGCTATTGCCATAACGTTAACGCGTTTCCAAATATTTAGGTAATTCTTTGACTTCGTCATTTGATTTTTTGAAGAATATTATGGGGAACAATCTTATATTGAGGACTTTATTGAATTTTCGTTGTTTCTTTCATTATTAAGCTAAGAAAATTTCATAAAATGATGTCGAAATGGCTTTGTATGATTTTTCAATTTACGATGATTTTTCGAAATGCAGTAAAAAGACTTTTAATTGATTGAAAGGGGATCAGTTTGAAAAACTGTATGATAAGAATTTTTAATTCGATATTTCACGACGAATTGGTCGTTACGTTATCGCGCGCGCGCGCGCACACCCACACAGGCGCACACACATATATAGAATATGCAATAAACCATATGAATAGATTCCGAACAGATATTTATATAAGCTTTCGACAAAATACAATGAAAATTTTTATTTTGTAGGCCATGCGATTACAAAATGCATAATAAGTTAAACAAATCAATCAAATCTATTTTGATGTTACGTTATGACACTGCTAATTGAATAACTGTATTTTTGAGCTGTACCGGTATATAAATAGAGCCCCATATAAAGATTTCTCATATCTTAGATATATTTGGTTTCAGCAAAACGACACTAATACTTCTCCAAGCTACACTACAGTTCAAGGTTCGATATATTTTAGCGATATGTTTGCATTTGCTTAACCAAATTTTAATATCGAATTAATTCTGTACACACACACACGCACACACGCACACATATATATATAATTATTATTTTACATAAAATTTATAACGTCTGATTTAATATGATTTTACGAATTGGCGCATATTTAAATGGAAAAGGTACTATCGAGGTACAGTCTGTTTATTTAAAAATTTAGATCTCATTGATTGACAGACAGGATTAATAAAATAACAACTTGTGGTTGTATTCAATAGTTCAATCGATTAATCTATAAATGCTTTCGTTTATTAGTATTACAGAATTTTATTATCTAGCAGCTACTTATTGCTATTTCGATTGCCATAATCGAGTTAAAAATGAATTGGTATTAAATGAAAATATTTATAATGAAAAATACCATTTACGAGTTATTTTTCACTATGCACATATTTATTAATTGTTTAAAGCAATAATACTTCAATTTGTAAGCTCGTGCGATAATTCGAAAGAGGCATGCAATAATATTCAACATCAATAAAGTATTTGTACTTTTTAAACCCAACATATAAGCTAGTACCTGAATTTCTAGAAAATTGACATTTCACATCGATAGACTCTTAAAAAACGGAAGTTTTTACGAATGTACTTTCTAATCATTTATTTTTAATATAATTACATTATATTCGTAGGTGTACGTGTGCACATTGTACGTGCACATTTTTTTTTTTTTTTTTTTTTTTTTTTTTATTTTTTTTAAAACAGGCTATTCCATTTTATAGTATACCTCAATTTATTTAATTTTTACTCTTGATATTAGATTTATATTTAATAATATTATTTTATAAGAATCATTATAAATTCATATATATATATATATATATATATATATATATATATATATATATATATATATATATATATATGAATTTATTTATTTGTAAAGCATCTTTATTTAATATACGTTAATAAAATAATATGTACATTCTAAAATCATCGGGGATAATTTTTAAAATATTTTTAACTACAGCACTTCAATAGTTTTTAGAAATACTTTGTGTTTTTTTTTAAGAAATTTATCCATTCGTTGATAGATTTTTAATAAATTTTTGTTTTTACGTGACTTCGGTATAAAATAGATTTGTAAAAAGATACTTAGTATAGAAAGCTTATGATAAATGATATATCACTAAGCTATAAATACAATATAAAGTGTATAAAGTAAATATTTCATTAATAATTATAAATATTTTATTTAATAATTTTAATTTTTTGTATTTATCGTTATTATTGTATCCATACAAATTTGGCAATTAAATTATTTGTTATAATGTCCAGAGTAATTGAGTAAAATATAAAGTTGAATGAGTGAGAAAGAAGAAAATAAATACATATAATGAATTTTAAAATTTGGTATAAAGAGAATATACAAGCTGTTTCTATTATTTATTCATAAGCTATATTTTTATGTGCTTTTTTTTTTTTTTTAATTGTGAAAAATTAATGATTAGTTCATTAGTAATTGATAATTAGAACAATAGATTTTCTAAACGTGCGTAATTGATTAATAGAAATTTACAAACAATGCATAAAAATGATATATTATACGTAAAGTCATTGGAGATGCATCGAAGAGAAAGAATTTTGTTTGAATACATATAGATAATCTATTGTTTACATATTTTAAAATATTAAATTTCATAAAAATATATGTTTTTAAATATTTGTTCTCAAAGTTGGTGACGCTAATTCTCGTGGCCAAGTTCGCTACATTCGAATATACTGAGATGCATATTAAAATCGTACTAGGATTAAATATTAATACAATTTATATTTTTCTTTAATACGTATTATTAAATTTCGCATAATTGTGATATGGAGTAAAAATCACATTGTCACTGCAATTATTTTATATAACTTTTTTTAATTTGTACGAACGGTCACCTATTTATTATAGATTTGATTGATATTATTTGATAATGGAAAAAAGCGTAGATTCGAATACGAATTATCTGCTGGAACAGTTAATTACAGCAAGAAAAGAAATTAATAATTTAAGGTACAAAATTGACTATATATGTGGTATCAATATATATAAATATTGCTTAAATTTAACCTATATGAATAACTTGTAAAGATTCATTATAATTTTTGTACATTTTCTTTTATAATTATTTCTTTATTAGACAGGAAATAAATAGTCTACGTTATGTGCATGAAAGAGATATTAGTAATATTAAAAGACTATTGAGATTGGGGACAAATAGTCTTACTTCTTTTTCCGAAGAATCAGCATCGTCGTCCGAGGTGCTAACAGCACCTTTAAAAAACAATGAATTATTAACAAGTAAAATTAGTAATGATTGTAATTCAATTCGTCGACCTATTGGTATTATGTCAAGTTGGTCTCCAAATAAAAAAGCTACTCCTAGACAGTCTGTAGTTTCTAATAGTACTTCCGGTAAAATAATTCTTTTTCAAAGTATTTTTACCAATCCTGAGCACGCTCTTAAAGGATTAGATGAATTTTCACACATGTGGTAAATATTAAGATTATAATATACATGTATATATAATAAATTTCAATTAATTTATTATTATATTTAATACCTATCAATACTTTTAGGATATTATTTCATTTTCATAAAAATGAATTAGGGCATGTGGGAACAGAAGTTGCACCTCCTGGATTAAACAGTATTAAAACTGGAATATTTTCCACAAGATCGCCACATCGTCCGTGTCCTATTGGATTAAGTTTGGTCAAAATAATTAAAATTGAAGATTATAATATTTACTTCGAAGGTGTCGATGTGATCGACCAAACTCCAGTTCTAGATATAAAACCATATATTCCATATTATGATAATCCATTGCATCTAGACAAAGTACTGCATTCTATTCGTTTGAAGGAAGAGTCGGAGAAAGGCAATACAGCAACATCCTCATCATCTTCGATGAATAATGCAGATGGTTGGATTTATAACGCTGCTAACGATACAGATAAGCGATTGTCTGCCAATTGTAATGACAACACTTGCACATTAAACAGAAAAAGTGTTATTTATTCAAAGAGTATTGCAGACAATCATTCTCATGTACATGTATCTTCCCCTTCTTCGTCCTCTATTTCTTCATCGATAGATGTATCAAAAGACGAAGAACTTGCATTAAAATTACAAGCAGAGGAATTTGAAAACAATTTAATCTTTGAAGATGTTTCTGTTAGCAATGAAAGTATAACTAGTTTAGAGGACAAAGAAGTTACGTCTGTAACTACTAGTAGGGTTAACGCAAATTCAATTAGCTACAATACTGGAGTCGGTGGTAGCGATATTAGAAACTCGAGACCACTGGATCAAACAGATCGCTCAAGAATAAGATATGCATCTGATATGGATATAATCAATAGGGGTACAACAAATTTAACATTCAACGATGAATGTCCATATATATCAGATAAAATAGGAAAACGAGAAGCACCAGATGGAGAAGAAGGCTTTGCTTATAATAAAAAGTCATCTAGTAGTACGGCCGTTACTAATAAACTAAATTCTGAAACAAGACCAATAAATGTCAGAGTGCCGGGTTGGATGTTAAATCCAAAAGAATCACCTTTTACGATAAATTTTTCTAAAATGTGTTTACAACAGCTACAAGAAATCTCGAAAGACAAGACAGATGAAAAAAAATTGCTTATAGAGAGCATTTTAAAGGAAGACCCAAGAACAGCGTTCATTAGACTGTATCATCGTAATAAATATTATGCAGTATTAATTCATGATCTTCATGTCTTTTGTAGATACAACGATATTAAAAAAGAAGTTACGGTCATTAAAATTCGACTTGCAGGTCATACGTGTAATTGCGGAGAGGCTGATTGGCAGTGTATTGGGCATACAGAACTTTCTCCTGGTCACAACCTCCCATAGGTTTTATTAATATACTTTTATAATGTATGTGATTTTTTATTATATAATTTATTAGATAATTTTTCGCACACGTGAATCAACTTTGTTACAAGTTCCTCTGAGATTAAAGTTGATTATTTATGATAAATTTCTTAAAAACGCAATTTGATTAAAGCTCACGAGCTTAACGTTAAATAAGAAATACTTTAAAACGGTATTTCATCGCTTGTAAAAATTATTTATTTCTCATTTCTTAATAAAACTATTTATAATTACAATAAAATATGTTCAAGTATACATTCTTATTGTTGAATCTGCTCCAGCTGAAAATATCCATGGCTGAATTGGATGAAATAGTACATCCAAAATGCCAAAGTCATTAAAAGCTTCATGATTACATAATCTTTTAAGGGGCACAATTAATGGATTTTGTAGTAAATCACTAAAAATTATAAAAGTTATTAGTAATAAACATTAAAAATGATTTTTTACTCATAGTAATATTTTATTTTTATAAATATACCTGTAAACCATTCCATGGCATACGATAAGACCTCTGTCATCAGCTCCTGACGCGAACAACGGATAGTTTTTATGATACGCCACTCCACGTATACCTGTACCGTGTAAGCGAAGAATTTGATAGGGTTTTGTACTTAAATCTAAATCAAACCACAGTAATTTCTTATCGTAGGTGCCAACAAGAAGATTATCCCCTCCTAAAATTATTTAAAATGTAAAATAATTGATAATTTATTAGCGTAGAAATTTTACAAAATTCTATATCATTACCAGGATGAATGGACATGCTGGATATCCATTGTGAATTTGTGAATAATTTTTTTATCATTTCTTGCTTCATTAAATCATATATTCTTACGTTTCTTTGCGTCTATAATAATAAGTTGATAAAAATCCTTAAATTCAGAACTGATAATTTTTAGATTAAATAATAACTTACCGCTATAAATAAGAATGGTTTAAATGGATGGAATAGGGCACATTGTACCTGCCCTTTAGGCCTACCAATGGGTAAATGAGATCTTCTTTTTGATAGTTGATGGATTAGAACAGCTCTGTTTTGACCATCTGGCATTACTGACAAAAAGTAATCGCCTTTAGCATGCCACGTCACTTGTTTAACAATTTTATAGTGATTTATTACAACCCTTATGCTTGTGTTCCAATCTTCTGCGTTATCCATTACGGACTGATTTTCCCATTGCACTACAGCCGTTACTCTCTCCGACACTAAAATTTGATTATTGAAATAAAATAAGCGAATCTTATTAGGTTTAAAATAATCTATGCACATGCATAATAATTACCGATTACGTCGCTTTGTGGAATTATTTCTAATAATTTATCTGCTTTCTTTGAAATGACATGATCTCCTACACCTGGATTAATTAAAAGAACCCTTTGATCAGCAGCTACAGCTATTAACGGTAGATTCTGGTTTGGACACCAAGCGACACTTCTCACCGTGCCACCACAATTTACAACTTTAACACATCTACCAGTGGAAATCTCCCATACTAAATAAAACATAATTAGCTATCGTTAAAAAGAAAGGGAAGAAAAGATGATCGTTATAATTGTATTCGCTCACTCCTTAATGTGGAATCATCCCCTCCACTAGCAAGGAATTGACCCAAAGATTCCACAGTCATACACCTAACCATATCCGTGTGCCCTTCATAAATCATTGACTGTACAGTTGGGAATGGTTGCAAGTCCCTAGGGCTTGGCAATTGAGGAACTAACGATTCTGGCTCTATAGTTAGTTTCATTTTTATTGCTCTTGGACATAAATACAAATCCAAACATCTTTGGAATCTTTCTTTGATATATCTGGGATAAGCGGGAACTTGTCTTAGAGAGTCATATTTTTCAGGAATAAAATGCAATTTTCTTTTCCATGGTGTATTTTTCAATTTATTCCATTCTTTTAATTCTCTCTTATCAAACAAGTATTCTGGAGGTGGATTATAACTTTCGGCATGTCCAGGCAAAAATCTTTTTGGTGCTGGAATGTGCTTGTGAATTCTTCTCATCTCTTCGGCTTGATCATCGGTCTGCCACAGCATATAAAACTGAGGTTCCCTTGTCTTTGACTCCCTTTCTTTTTTCAATTCTGCCGTTGATTTAATCCAACCCATTTTTAAGGCATGAACAAGTTTTGAAACCCTTTTAGCCTCTGGTTTCGATGGAAGGAAGGAACGCTTGTGCTCAGGAAATTTACGAATAGGTGTTTTCATAACTTCTGAAGTAAACCATTCCATCCATGGCTAATTAAGTAAATGTAATTAATTTACATAATTACTTATGCGAATAAAAGTGCTAACTTTTAAAAATATAGGGTAGAAAATTTATGCATTGACTACTTACCGCATATTCATCAAATTTAGCATCAGGTAATCTTTGCTTTTGAATTCTTGTTATAAGTTCGATATCCGCATTGCTTAAAACAACTTCTTGTCCAGTTTGATAATCTTTTATCGTTCTCCAAAAGTCAGGGTCTTCCATCCTCCTCAAAAAATTGTCCAATTGATTTCCCTGTTCTGGCTTCAATATTTGTTTTCCATCCCAATCATAACCAATATGTTTACTATTATCGTACCATTTCAATGGTATATTACCAACAGTATTTCTAATATCTTCTTCATCCGATGAATCAGTCTCATATTTATTTAATTTAGAATCGTTTGCATTTACTTTGGCTTTCGAGTCATCTTTATGATTGACTGATTTACTTTGATTTTTCTTTTTGATTTGTTTATGTTTTGTTTTCTGATATTTAATATTTGCTGTTTCTTCTTCATTTTCTTCTTTAGAATTTGACTCTGATTCTAACAAACTATCCTCTTCAGACGAAAGTTCTTCGCTAGATATCTCCTCCTCGTTACTTTCATCTTCTTCGTCGGAGGATGCAAATATAGGTTTATCCTCCTCCTCGTTCGAATCATCATTAGAATCTCCATTATTCCTTTCTTCATCCGTTGTATCTCCATCGCCATCAATCTCTCCGATTAATAAATCTTCGGTACCCGAATCCTGCAAGTCATTCATGTATATTGATAATCCTGAACTTTGTTATAAATTAAATACATTTTTAATATATTTCAAATTATGCTATATTATCAATTTTTTATTTCAAACATGCATTTATCGTACTTTAGGAATCGTAAAAATATAATAAATATAAGCATTGGTGACAAAATTTTTACCTCTACTTCAGATTTCTCGTAATCACTTTCTTCATTATTTTCGATGACATTATCGGAATTTTTTAATGTTTGTTTTCGTTTTAAATTGTTCCTGTTAGGTTTCATAGTTTTAAAAGAACGATTTTTATCAGGACACATGGACTATTTTAAATAAAGGTTAGAATACGCATGCGGGTAATCACGATCTATACATCATCGAGGGAACCAGTTCAACTGGCAGTCTGCAGTACCTAATATTCTATCCTCGGTTTTCGTCAATTTTATAGTCAGCTTGATAACAATGGTCAACTATACATTCTAAATGAAAACAAAAGAAAAGTCGACGATGTAATAAAAAAATAAAAGAAAAAATATACTCGTTAGGGAGTTATATTATTGGCACCGAATTCGATTGATCTGTAATTGTTGAAACCGCGCTTAAGGGGGTAGTAAGAGAAACTGCCTATAATGATATAAAAACATTGACAGACTGAGTTTCATGGAATGCCAAATATTTAATAAATGAAATATTTTTATTTCAATAATAATTAAATCTAAAATTAAAAACTATCTTTTGTATATAATTATAATAGATAATACAAATTTCGTTATTGCATTTATTGAATCTTTAAGGATAAATATAGGGTAATTAAATAGTATTAAGAACCCTTCCTTATTGAAAAGCTTATTTATTTAATAAAACAAATTATAAACGACTTGACACGGCTTAGCTTTTTCCTTAAACTGATTTCATTAACGAAGTATTAAAAATAATATTAAGAAATCATTTTAAATGAATAATCTTATTAATTTCCCTATTTACACGGATATTTGTTTCTAATGATGCCAGCCAAGACGCATTAATCAATGATCATACACGATCGTTGGTGATTTAAGACAATAGTTAGTTACGTATTTCCCATTCGCAGCATCTTCGACAGATTATTTTTACACTCCTACTTTTACTATCGCATGTGCAAATAATTAGCTTAGTACGAAATTTGCTGAGCTCCTACAATGGAAATCGATTACCCTTTTTAGCATTGATAGATCACCTTTTTTTAAAAATATTAGAATCTTTTATTAGAATTGTTTTTGTGTCTGGTTAAATTCGTTGATATTTTCCCTCTTTATTACTGGGTGTATCTAAGAAATAAGGAATAAAATTAAAAAAAATTGATATATCATCTTACACGTAACTTTAAATTACCAAGTAGTTTGATAATGATAATAAATTTTCAGTTAAAATATATTTTGGCAACATATTTTGATTATGTATCGTTTGATTAGCAATTGAAAAGAAAAGATTAATAGTTTAATCATCAGAATTCCTTATTCCTTATATATTATTCCTTGCTCTCTTACTATTTATAGTTGTTACTCATAAGACTCTTTTATCATTGGGATTTATTTTTTAATTATATATATATATATATATATATATAAATTTTTTATTTATTATTTGTTACTATAAGTAAAGTAACAAGTTTTATACACATGTTTTTTTTTTTTTTTTTACAAGCGTCAAACTTCCCGTCTTCTAATCGAATGTGACCAAAAAATATAAAATTTTAATAAGCATAATCGTTAAAAGCGTAACATTTAGGAAATAATAATTTAATTTACAATTAACTCGAACCTCTAAGGAATCGAATAAGGTAATGAATTATAGATCCCTATTCCTTAGGCTTAATAATTATTTTTTCCAAATTCCAACTCTTATTTGTCATTTGTTTTCAAGATCTCAAACAATAGATCTCAAAAAAAACCCGACTGGCAATACAAAGTATAATTATCGAAATGGAGTAATTAAAGGAAAAAAAAATGATATTGTAATTACGAACAAAATAATGATTTTATATGGTCGGCCTAGTAGATTTAATTTTATAAAATAAGGTTAATTTGCGAGAAGGAAGCTTCAATGCACTGTTAATCATGTGTATAGATTAATTGAAGTGCGATATGATAACAAAATTAATTTCGAGTAAAATCATCAGAGAGAGGCAGTTTAGGGTGACTCGACGAAGAACAATAAGATGCATTCGTGATGTGTTTGCTCGCTTATGTCGTGCTCGCACCTCCAAGTAACGTGTAAGTTAAAATTATAATTTCCATTAATTTAAATATTTCTCATAATAATTTTGAATATTTGAATTTGAATTTTAGAATTAACTTGAGAATGGGTTGTGTTAATAGTCGAACTGATATCAATGATTTGCATCCTAATGTCTTTCAAGTGATGAACGTCGATGATTTGGGAAATTTGATCACACCTGGGAGATTGGAAGTTACAGAATCTGATATCATTTTATATCAGCGTAGCAAATCACCGGTAAAGTGGCCCCTACGCTGTTTACGTCGTTATGGTTACGATGCTGAAATTTTTAGTTTTGAATCTGGGAGGCGGTGTTCTACCGGTCCAGGAATTTACGCTTTTAAATGTCGTAGAGCAGCTCAACTATTTAATCTTGTACAAACATATATTCAGGTATTTTTAATTATTAATAATTTAGGCAATTTTCAAGTACTTGAAAGCTAATTTCAACTTATAACATAATATACAATTTATCTAACACTATAATAGTTTTATCTAACACTGCTACAACGCTACAAAATTATATACAAATTTATAATAAATTGACATTGATCTAAATAATATTAATTTTCTGTTTTCATAACGACAGACCAGTATAATGAAACAATTCATCGGATCAAATATCACTTATAAGTCATTTACATTTTATTACAGCAAGTTTGTAATAACGGCGACGATGCAATATCGAGAGAAATGCCAATTGGTGCCCATTCTGGGCCTACGGTAACAAGAGTGGCAATACCAATGGAGTCTAATTATCTCGATCCAACATCAACACGAAGTAATGGACGTATTTTATCTTCATTTTCTAATCATCAACAAAATGGAAGACTGAGTAGCATAGGAAGCAGTAGTGGCCCGATATCACCCCAAGGAACAATGAGTTCTCCATCACCGCCTCCTATGCTTCCAGCATCGTTACCACCGCCTCCACCAATTCCACATTTTCATTCGTCCTTATACGTTAACGAAGAAGCTCTGCAAGCAGTTGCCACCGCGGATTTGGAACATAATAATAATAAAAGTCTAGCCAGAAGATCAATGCAAAGGTAAAGCATTATTACAATTATTTCGTTAATTTATCTTTATAATAACATTTTGCAAATTAAATACTTCAATTTAAATAAGCGTTCATTATTGAATATTTAGCAAGATGCTGGTGCATGCAATGATTAGGAGAATGAAATATTCATTATTAAAATTTCAGATCTCACACTGTTAGCAGCTCAATATCGACTAACGGTTTACTATCGTTTGAACAAGTTTCTGGACAAATAGTAAACTGCGAAGTTTCGCTATCAAAGCAGAATCGCGCGGCTACGGTTCAGTCGTCGGCGCCTTCGTATATTAATGTTGACCTCAACAGCGACGGAAGTCCACTTTCCCCCTTACACAAAGCTTACGAATCCTCGACATCGTTTAAAGACGAAGGGATCACGGAGCAGCAGGATGGCAGTTGTAATCCTACATATATGAACATAAGCCCAAGACAGGAAAAACTTGAATCGGTGGCTCCAATCGTCAAAGCTCGTCCACCCGCTCTCTTGATTTTACAGCAGCAACAACAATCGGAGTCGGAAGATGGTTCGAGACATTTTTACGCGAATCTCGAGGCCAGCGAGTTGGAAGGTTTGAAGAAGCGCTTCTCCGCGACGTCCATCGTCGAAAAATTACCCGTACAAACTCCTCCGCCTCTTCTTAACGTCACAGCTGCCCGAGAAATGAGTTACGCAGTTTTAGATTTAGATAAAAACAACGCGCCATCATCGAACATTGGGACGGCAGCCATAATAACGGCAGCGTCAACGTCAGCGTCAACGTCAGCGTCAACGACGGCATCGACTACAATGACAATTACGTCGACAGAGTCGTCAGTAACACCACAACTACCTCCTTCTTCCTCTCCGCCAGACTCGCCTCTCAAATCCCAGCAAATTGGCTACGTGACGATCGATTTCAATAAGACGGCCGCTTTATCGCATTCGGTTAATTCGTGTTTAATCAGTGATATTGACGAAGGCTCGAGAAAAACACGCCATAATTCGACCATTAGTGAATTGATAAGTCCTTCGAGTAGACATAACTCTTCCATGAGTGAGTGATTTATATATATCTTCGTTTGATTGTTAAATGATTATGTCTCCCTTACTGTTTGCCGCTGTAAATAATTTGTAAAGGGCATTTCTACTCGTATGGAGCTATATGCTCTAAACAAATTTTTATCTAGCGCCGCGTATTTTGCCATCCATATAATTCTTAATATGCACGGCAATGTGATTTAAGTAACACAATTGCGCCAGAAAGTTGCTTGTTTCCCGTAAACTTTGACTGAAAGCTTTTGATCGTTTATTGATTTCAAGTAGATCGAATAAGCTAAAATCATGTTGAATTAATTAGATAATATATCAGATAATAGTTTGGCATTTGTAGAATGAGATTTTTATAAGTAATTGTAAGCATTATCGTAAGAGAAAGCGTAAGAAATTATCTTTCACTTGATAATTTAAGTTTCATTCTCATTTGTAGAAAAATAAGATTAAATAAGGCCATTAGTTTACGCTTACTCAAGTAGAACAAAAATGTTAACAAACAACGGGATATTAAGTATGTTTGCATTAAGAATAATATTTAAAATTTAAACGAAGAAACCTAATACTTTTGCACTTCACATCGACAGCTCCAATGCCACATAATAAAGTAATAAAGTCGCGTGCTAGCTCAAAGACGAATTTCACAATTGCAAAAAAATAATGCGTTTTTTATACTGTAGCGGTACTGATTCAGGAACAAGATATTAATGAATTAAACAATTTCAATTAGAATTTTAACTACCTCCGTTTTTTATATACATAAGATAATCTTAGGTAGCTGTGTCAGCCCACCGGTTGTGTAAAACAAGGATACAACTGCAGAAAACGCTAACCTATTTGTTAAATAATTATAAAATGCTTTTAAAAAACGTGATAATAATAACAAGTGCATTTTAATTGGCAGATCTTGTCAAACTCCCGAACTCCGTTATACTCTCATATACAGTATTAGATGTTTTACGAAAAACTTATTCAGATCGGAGATTTAATCATTTTTAATAATAGTAAATTTATAGTTCTACCCTTATTCCATTTCTACTTAGTAATTAATATTTGGTCAAGCGCCGATATTCTGGCGCATATTCACCGCTTTGTGATATCATGTACCAAAGACGTCGCTATGGAAGAATAATGGCGTAGTACTGATACATTCCGAAGGAGACAAATTTCTTAAACCTTTTATGAAAGGTTATCTCTCTGCGTCGTATGACGTACGCACTGGCGATTTTAATGCTAAAGTGTCGATCAGAAATTCAGAAATTCACACTTTAGGGTTCTTTTGAACAAAGAAGCCCACGATGAACAATCGATTACGATGGTCGTATCTTCGTACTAAGGATCCCTTGCCTCTCAAGATACTACAACGTCCTCCTCGCTTATGCTAGTTCCTCATTTATTTACTTTTGCTACAGTTTCTGCAACTGGAGATTGGATATTGCTCATGATTCCTTATACCCATAAGGTGGATTTTAACCACCTCCGAATAATTCCAAAAGATCCACGCATTCACTTATCTTCAAAGTAATTTTACAATTAATTTTAATCGGTAGTTGGAAGGCATTCGATACTATGAAGTGTTACTGGGGAGAAAAATATGCCATCGATCGGATCTACTTGGTCCAACTGTTATTCCTGATACAAGGCCATAAATCGCAATTATTTCAAGCAAATAGATCATCGGAAGGTAGGTTATTAAACTTTATTTTCATCTGCAGTGGTATCTCTTAACTAACACTGGGGACGTTTCTATACTCATTTGCGAATGTAAAATTGTCAATATGGCAAATGACCTCAACAATTCTTCGATTTATTAAGAGCAAGTAGTTAACGAAACATTCTTTTCTTGATATTCGTTATTTGATCGATCGCTAGTCAAGATTACAATTAGTTATGGGTTTCTTTTCACTTCTCTATCGCACAAATTGTTTATAAGCATTTGTGTTTTTTTGTTTTTTTTGGTTTTTGTTTTTATCGAGACCCAATACTTTTAATCTAAAAATCGAAGGAATGATAAATCAATGTATGCCATACATTTATTAAGCCGAAGGAAGAGGATATAAATATTTATACGATGAATTATAATTTGCTGCAGCAGCTACAAGAATAGACTAACAACAATAATTATTAATAATAATCTATCGTGTCAATCGATGATAACGAGTCGACATTTGTCAATGTATCCGAAGGCCAATAAAATTAACAAATGACAATTTTGCATTAGGTTTGCGCGCAGTTGGAAGTTTAAACAAAATGAAAATCATCAACGAATAACTGAAAACACTAAAGTGAAAAACGAGTAACGCTTATTTTCTGTACAATGTATGTGATAATAGCAAGGCGACTTTTCTAGTATTAAGAATAGAACACTTATGGAAATTGATGAATTTTGTGTAAAAATAGTTGCCCATTATAAATTGTATATGTCAAGATAAACATTGTTCAATGTATCACGTGTTCTAAACACGCATTATATGCCATAACCAAACAACTAGATTAACAATAGCTTACAATAATATCGCGTGTGTTACTATTTTTTTCACTTTCTTTTAGATGATGTAACTTGTAATTGTTTTAATTGGGTTTTGAAGGGAAAAAAAGGGGAAAAAAAAGATGAAAAAATACTGGTTTTGTATTTTTATCGTACCAAAGAATTATAATATATATATATATTTTTTTGTTACTAAAATATTTATTTGAACATAAATGTTAAGAACGTAAATGTTAAGCAGCTACTAAGTTGAATGAATATTTCTTATGCAAAAACGTGAAATAAAGAAATTATTTATTTTTTAAAGAATATTTCACGAAATTTATGTACTTGTTTTAGGAACAGGTGTAACAACAGTGCCAACACACTTGCCCAGTTGCGAATAGTTCTTATTTTTTATTATTAAGTACGTGCCATTGATAACATTTATGTCGAAGTGATCCAATGATAATGAATAATTGCAGGTCGTCGAAGTTAGACCGTTAAGTTTTTAAATTGAAAAAATAACAAAAATGGCCAAAAACACGAAAGAATGTACGTAAAATCTTGTAATAATCGTGGCAGTATTACATTGTATGTATACGTCGTCGTTGAAAATTAACATGTTGATAAAACATATTGATATCGCTTTAATTTATACTTGGAAAGATCATACGCATATGACAATTTTGCATATATGGTTCATTCCATTTTCTTTGCTTATATTAACAAAATAATAATAATAATCATAAAAGAAAATGAATCGTTGATACATCGAAGCCCAAAAAACGAAAAATCTTATGACTATAAATTAACGAAACCAATGCATCGGCGACATTGGTTAATAACAGTTGTGATACAAAAATTTGGTTCGTGCGTGCATGCGACGATCAACGAAAGCCGCAAGTCGTTTAATTCGTTTAGCGAATAAATGCAAAAGTAGAAACGATAGAGATTTTATTTTTCTATAAATCGAAGAATAGCAAAGCTGTTTTGAATGTTGCGCAAAGGGAGAAAGATAAATTGTACAAGTTGTAAATTCGTAAAAAAAAAAAAGAAAAGAAAAAACAACAAAAATTTGTATGCGAAGCGGCAAACCTTAATTTATATGAAGAAATCGTTGCCATGAACTTAACGACCTAGGTACGAGTATGCGCTATGTAGGTCTGATTATATATTTTAATATGTACAAGAAATAGTTTAATCATTTTATAAAGATATCTGTATATTTATATATATATATATATATAGGCAACCAAAGAAAAGGAAATTTCATATATTTGTGCCTCATTTTGAAGAATGACACAATTCTTATACAACTATTTAGGTAACCAATGTTGAAATTATAAAATTTTTGTTGTAATAATTACATTGGAAGGAATATTGTTAGTATACTCTTATACACACACATGCGTATGCGTACGCAAATATTATTATTTATGAGATTAATAGTAAATAATAAATGAACATTTTAATGAAATACAAATATTGTATTACTTTATTTTTATTTAAAAGTTAATATTACAATATAATGGATCAAAGCAACGTGCTAATAGGGAATATTAGAATATTCTTAAAAATAAGTTCTAATTGTATGAAAAGTAATTTATTGAATATTTATTACACTAAACACATATCGGTAATTATCTTAATTCCATACCATATTTTTACTGCTTAACTTTATATGAACTTTTCATCAATAATTATTTCTAACTTCTGTGGTAAGAAATCTGCTTGGCGTATTTTGGATTTCTCTTTATATTAACAACAAATTACACAGTTTAGAAATTTAAAAAATAATGCAATGATTTAAAATTTAATTTAAAATTTTGTCTATAGAAGTAAATAGACTAAATTATTACGCATTTATTACTTGTATGATCTGTACGTTAATTAAAGTTGTTGATTATAGGTACTCTTGTGGTCATCATTAGAATGTATTGATCAAAACATCAAATCTGAAAAGAAATAAAATAATTATTCTTTATATGTTAATCTAAATTGCGTATATTGAATCCATATAATGATTAAATGCAAATGTTGAATAATACTATTTCAGAAAAGTTTTACACCAACGCGTCAAGATAATTTATTTCAATAATTTGCACGGGATATTGCATAGTTATAAAAAATCATTTAGAGAACATGTCACAATCAGTGGAAACGAAGAAAGTATTTATTAGACATAGTTAGTCTCTAAGTCCCATGAATATTTAAACAATTTTCAAGCCAAATATGTTTGGCTTTGGATTTATCAACCGATTAATGAGACTGACTGTGAGTGAAAAATTTTCCAAAGACCATCGTAGTCGCTCAAATTCATTTAATTTTCTCATATAATAAATACGTTCACGATAGGAGATATACCCACAAAAGAAAGGAAAAAAAGAGGAGATTATCGGAGGAGAAAACAATAATTTCCAAATTATTGACTAATTTTATATGACAATGAAAGATGAAAGATCATCAGTTGCTAATAGCTTCGTCCATTCGACTATGTACTTGGTTCGCCCTTCGGCAACCCCTCGAAACATTAATAAGCCGTGACATTAATTTGCCAACCTACCTATCAGCTTATAACTATTCAGGATCTTGATTGCGGAGTTCTAGATTTTGATCTGCGTGGAGTTCGGCTTTTGGACGGAGACCTTGACTTACTCAAAGACTTTGGACCCCCGTTTCCGCTCCTGCTGCGTGATCGGCTGCGTGAGGATGAGCGCGAGTAGCTGCGCTTAGTGCGTTGCCTCGAGCGGGACCGTGATTTTGAGCGCGATCTGGAGAAAGACCTAATGAATAAATTCCTTAATATTATATCAGCTAACTGTGAGCGTGTGCCTGTTTCCAAAAACTTCAATTCTCTTACTTTTATTAATTGCTTTCGTAATATCGGAAATATGAATTTGTATCAACGTAATTTTTCAGTCATTTAGCATTCAACATGAAGGTTTATTATGTAACACGGTAAAATTAAAAGCAGAGCTCTAGAGATGTATTTAGCGTTTCTCGCGTCATATCCATTTTATGATCGCACAAAACTCCTCTCCCTATCATACCTAAATATGATAAACTGTATGTTAACTAAAATGTACAAATGTAACCAATATCCAATATACATAAACATATACATACGTATACATATGTGTGTGCGGATGTATAAATAAATAAATAAATATGTGCGTGTATCTATATATGTATATATGGATTTAGCGTTTCTTATTTATCTCGGGAAAGAAAAAAAAAAAATAAAAGTAATAAAGCACAAAAAAGAAAAAAAAAAAAGAAAAAAAAAAGAAAACAATAACCAATTCTTCAATTTTTGTATGACTAGATAAAAAAGTAAGTACAACACGCGAGTTTTTGTTTGTTTTTGTAAAAGAAAATGGAAAAAAAACGAAGAAAAAAAAAATGAAAACCAGAGAAAAATTGTCAATTAGCAGACCATTACTTACATGTATTATCACATTAGAAGAATATATATAAACATTTGACGCACATGGCTCTACTCACATTAATTAAATCATTATGACATATTACGGTACTGTTCAAAGCTTTTTTTTTTCTTTAATTATTCACATACATGTACCCCAGACTAGTCAATATGAACTCGGTGTTCTTTGATTTTGTATACCTATATTAGAGGCTGCGTGAATACGCGCGGAAGAAAGGGTAGCAGAGCAGATTGTCAAAATCGCGTGATATTCAGACGTGTGGACGAAGAGAGTGTAGGCAATAAGAGCAGATGATCGCTATGTATTTATACGATGATCAGGCACAAACATCGAGCTGAACGAAGTCACGAAGAAGCGGACAGAGCCGTAGCGCAGCGGAGTGCCGTCGTTAGAAGAACCGAAGTGCCCCTCTCGCATATTCTCGCTGAATGACTCTTTCGCTCTCTTTCATTTTCTTATTCTTTGTTCAGTGTCTCGTAGTGCAGAAGTAAACCCAAAGTAGGTAGGTGCTCTACACGCTGTAACTACGCAGAGTGCATCACAAAGTGAACCCAAGTCGATTAGGCGAATCTCGCGCGAGTATCTCTCTGTGCGACATCGCATAGTCACATGCGAATGCCGGTTCAGCCGCACCTCCTACAAATAATGGGCAGGATTACATAGACGACGTTCTTTGGCATTTTAAACAGTTCGTCAGTTTTATTTTATCTCTTACGGAATTTATTTGCCTTTACTCATAAGCCTTTTTATTTAATTTTTTTTTTTTTTTTTTTTTTTAAAATCATCTATTGACATACACTGATGCAGTAGCATAAAGGTTTCATAGCGTTCACGAGTCTTTAATACGTTGCTGCTCTCTTTAGAGAGTGAGTATGCGACAGAGAGAAAGAAAGAGAGGGAGGGAGGGAGGGAGGGAGGTAGGTAGGGAGGGAGAGAGAGAGAGAGAGAGAGAGAGAGAGAGAGAAGCGATTTGGTTTATAGGTAAGCCACTAGGAAAATAAAAAAAAAAATGAAATAAATATAAAAGTTCAATCTCACATTTTGGCTTCAGTGTGCCAAACTTACTACGACTAAGGAAATCCAGCCAACTCCTTTGTTAAAGTAGCTGCGAATAGCGAGTTAATAAATTAAAACACATTATTGAGCTTCAATCCATCAATGATCCAGGCAAACAATAATGTAAATCTGTGAACCTTTATGCTACTATGAAATTCTATATTACATTGATCACTTTGCATATGCGTTATTTCAAGGTTTATGACATTTCCTAAAAAAAAAACAAAAATCAGTTGTATTGTATTGAATATACATACTTACATATGCACCTACACATGCTAATAGAAATGTGCAAATATGCATATGCATATGCATATATATATATTTATATGCGCTATGTATGTGAAGTAAGTATATAATATGCGCTCATACATGCACAAGCGCGTATGCACAAACACACGAACATGCATGTATATATATATATATATATATATATATATATACACATACGTGTTCTCGTACGCGGAAATGTGTGCGTGTGCACACGCGCTCGCGTTCCCGCGCGTGTATATTTATTTAACACGTACAGTGCAGAACCATTACGTTCGTCTCTTAATAGTTTTCAGTAAGTTTAATCACACAATGCCTGTTATTACAATTAATAGCAAATAAAGAAGTTTGTATAAATGTGTGGATGTGCAATTGTGTCTATACAAACCTGCGCCTTCGGGAACTTCTCTGCCTTGAGCAATCCCGAGCGTAATGGCCACGCTCACCGCAGTCGTAGCACCTGTCTTCAGGGTGAAAAGGCCTGCCACCTGCCGCACCTCTCCTCGGCGGTCCTCTATCCCTCGAGCGCTTGCCATTCGACAGCTCGACTCGCGCCCGCCGCCCGCAGACGGTGCGCCCGTCGAGGCCCTTGACCGCGTCCTCCGCGTCCCTCGCGTCCTCGAACTCGACGAACGCAAAACCCGGCGGATTCCTGGCCACCCAGACGTTCTTCAGCGGTCCATAGTGTGAAAATGCATCCTCGAGCTTCTCCTTGGTAGCGCTGCTGCCCAAGTCGCCGACGTAGACCTTGCAGTCCGATGGGTAACGGGACATCTGAATAAAAGGTCAAGGGCCACGCCAATGATTCGAGATATTATCAATGGGGCGAATGTGGCAGCGGAAAGTCCGCTAAGCGCGCGGCACGTCAGGGCGCTGGGGGCGTCACACCCATTGCTCGCTTGGCCGAGGATTCTCGCAACGATAAAACGAAGATCGATATCGGGCCTTGCGACGCGCCCCGTTGTCGTGCCGTGTAAAATCACGCCACGCGCGCGAGCTTGTAACGACGCGTCGTCGCTCGTCGTTGGGCTCGGCAGTTTCTCTCGATAAGGTGCGGCTTCGATGGAGACAGAGTGAGTGAACGAGGGAGAGACAGGGAGAGAGAAAGAGAGAGAGAGAGAGAGAGAGAGAGAGAGAGAGAGAGAGAGAGAGAGAGAGAGGGAGGGAGAGCGACAGGGTGATAAAGAGTGTGTGTGTGTGAGAGAGAGAGAGAGAGAGAGAGAGAGTGAGAAAAAAGGCGATAATAAAATAATAACACACGGATGTAATAAATGAAGGGAGAAAAGAAGGAACGTCGGCAGGAAGGAATGAAGAGCGGAAGACTGGTGGAAGAGGAGAAAGAGAGGAGGAGGAGGAAGAAAAGTAAAGATGAAGGGAACGGGCGTTTAACAAAAACCACTACTCACCTTATTCATAACAGCTAAGATTACTGTTCGATGCGAGTTTGCACACGATCACTTGATGCGGATAATATTTCCTTCCAAATCTTAACTTAACTGGTTTATTATTGCGTAGCGCCGTGGCAGCGCGTCTTTACGAATTCTAGTTCCAGATTTCCACTTTCCAGCCGTCCAACTGAGTCAGAGACAATATCGACGTCGGTCGTCGTTCGCTTGGCGAGGATCTTGCACGAGATGATATTCCGTTTCCACGGTTCCTCACCCTCGGCGCCCCCTCATTGCGCTCAATCAATAAAATGGCGGCGACTCGAAGAGTCAGAGGGACTCGAGCGCCACTCGGATGCTCGCGGCGAGGGGCCGAAGCTACCGAAAAGCTGCTGTCGCCACCGCCGCCGCCGCCGAGGCGAGACACTTGCCGAGCAAGCACCAATCGGTAGAATTACGATCGACTGTCATGGGCTGATGAGGTGGGGTAAGGGCGGGGGTGGGGGACGGGGGTATTGGGTAGTGCGGACCGGGAGCAATTGCTTCGGCGGAGAATCGTCGTAGCTGGTCAGCGGACATCCCCGCCGCTTGACGTCGGCAATGTAAATCCGGCGCGTCCCGCATCGCCAATCGTTTACTTTTATTTATCTCGTCCGCGCGCTACGCCGACGTCTCCGTGGTGGTACTCGGTAGCGGCAAGTCGTGCGCGCCGTCAGGTACGGGGTGGGGTGGTACGGGAAAGAGCACGGCTATGCGGGGTAAGGAGGAGAAGGTACGTCTTTGCCGTACGCAAATGCTCGCGTATAATAACCTTATCCTCAAGCGTCGGACGTTCGCGGTGCGCATAAACTCGATGGTAACGGCGGTCACGGCGGTATCACTCGGGCTCTGGGGTAGGGTGAAGAGAGAGAGAGAGAGAGAGAGGTAGAGCCGAGCGCTGCTCGGCACAGCGGCTGCTGCGCGATCGCTCGACTCTCGTCTGTCTCGTTTCGCTACTTGGCAGCCGTAGCCGTTGGCCCCTAAGCACTATTGCCCTGTGTTACCCCCTCATGGACTTCCAAGTACTCCGCTGGGAGCAGCGGTTATTCGCCGATGCAAGCCAATCTGTCGCGGGGCAGTAGGGGCCGGGGTGTCCGAGACCAGTCGCAGTGGCTCGGTCCGTGTCCCGGAAGCCCCGCGTGGCCCGTTGGATTAAAAGGCAGTTCGACGTGGTGACGGCGATAGGGACCAGAAGAAGTCTGTTGCCTGTGGGCGATGGACTATCCCCGCGTTTCCTCTACTCATTCTTTTGGATCGTTCGCGAAGCGCGACCACTATTTATCTACGCCCATGTAAATTTGGTGCGCGAGCACCAGCGAGCGGCGGAAACACAGCGAACCGAACGCGGAGAAGGATCACGATAGAGAGAGAGAGAGAGGGAAGGAGTAAGAGAGTGGGCGCGCACTCATTAAGTCCGCGACGTGGATGAACGGGGAGGGAGGGACTTTTTAAAGAATCGCGCACGCGCCCGCGTGTTTGCGGGACGTCGGGCGAATGCGCCGCGGCGCGCGTCCGAGTAGTTTTCCAGTGCAGCCGCCGCCGTCGTCGAGTCTTCCGCGTAGCGCCGAAGGCACCGCTGTGCCATTTGCCAGTGTGGGTGCGCGCGCGCGCCCGTGCGTGTGTATGCTCATTCACAACTCACGCACGCTGCGCGCACCGTCTGCTTTCCATTGCCTCCGGTTTCGCTACCAGTTAACTCCCTAACTTCCCTCAACCCGTTTTTCCCATCACCGTCGTCATCGTCATCGTCGTCATCGTCGTCATACTCGTCCTCGTCCTCGTTCTCGTGCTCGTTGTTGCCGTCGTTGTTCACGCCGCCGCCACTCGACCCCGTCGCGGAGGTGTTGTCAGTGGTAGTGGTAGACACGAGGCGGCGCCTCCCTGTGTGCGTGCGTCAAGCGAGTTCAACATCGGCGGCGGCTGAATCCCTCCTCCCTCTCTTCCTTCCAGCTCATTCTCTTTCTTTCTCTGTCGCGCGCGCGCGCTCGCGCATATACACAATGTTTCTCGCTCGCTCTCTCTAGAGCGCGCGCACAGACGGTCCCAGGCAATATGTAATCGTACGGGCCTCTCGCTCACGCTCAGTCGCCGCCGAATATACACATTGCACGCGTGCGGGCTCCGGCTCCTGTCGCTCGCGCCGCTCAGCCAGCCCAATTCTTTTTTTCGTTGGCCTCCGTATCGCGATCCCCTCCTCCCTGTCGTCTTCGAACTCCGGTGGAGGGCCCGCGCGCGTTCCTGTTTTGGTGCCTGTCGGTGTGTGCCCGCGGCCTCCCCCGGTGAATGAGCGGCTGGGACGGGCGCGCGCGCGCGCACGCATATGACGTCAAAACAGAAACCGGAGTGCCGCCGCTGCCCCACCGTAAGGAGCCGTGATGCGAGCGCGCCGTACGGGCCATGAGTGCTGCGTTATTTTGACAGTGCAACCGGGGACTGGCAAGGAGTGTGTGTGTGCGCGCGCGGGAGGGAGGAGCATCGCCGAAGCATCAAGACCACCAATAGTAGCGTCAACGACAACGGCAACGGCAACGGCAGCGGCAGCTTTACCAGCGGCGGCATCTCCCCCGTGCACGATGAGTGCGAGGGACGAGGAGCACGATTCCTGCGCTGGCGAGCCTGAGAACGCGCTGCCCCTGCTCCAGGAACTCGCCGACCTGCCCTGCACGTCCGTACAGCAAAAGCTCAATCGCTACGTAAGTTCATCAGACGCTCGCACGCGCCCACCTCCCTTTTTTCCTTTAATTCGTTCCTAGCCGCCTCCGCTGCCTCCGCCGCCTTCTCTTCCTCCTCCTCCTCCTCCACCACCACCACCACCACCACCCCCACCACCACCACCACCGCTACCGCCACCACCGTCACGAGTTTCGCCTCATTTCTTCCGCCGCCGCCAACTCATTCTCATTCTCCTCCTCCTGTTTTCCCGTCTCTTGGTTGGATTCCCGCGCCATGCTCCGGATAGTCGATTGGGGGATGGCGGAGGAACGATCACGATAATTGAGAGGCGAAGGGGGGACGGGAGGGCGCGCATTGGAACCAGCTGGACCGAGTGCTAGCTTTTCCGTTGTTATGTACACACGAGTTTGTTATCCTTTTACTCCCCCTCAGTGCACGAGTGCATTTTTCGGCTTTTTCATTTCTACGTTAACTTTGATTTTTGTTAGGTTTTGCTTTTCTACTTCCCGTCTCGAAGAAAACAGAAAGCACCTTACGCGCGCGCTCCCGAATCGCCACAATACACGGGAATCTTGAATTATAGAATACACGGATTTGCAATTACATAGATGTGCAAATATGGGTTTTGCTTACGAGGAGTTATGTAATGCATCGAGGAAGGAAAAAGAGGGTGAAGGAGGGAGGTATAGAGGTATAGAGGTATAGAGAGAGAGAGAGAGAGAGAGAGAGAGAGAGTGCGCGCGCGCGAGTTTATTTGTGTGTGCGTGTGTGCGTGAAGGGAGTGGGAGGGCGAAAGGGGGAGGGAGGTAGAGCGCACGCGAAGAAGTTTAAGAGTCGTGGGATTTTTCCGCAATGCGAATAGCTCGACGAGCTTGCCTTTATCACTTTTCATTTTTCTTCGCGTGCTCATCAAATATGTACACACACGCGCATAATAAGCGTCAGTGGGCGCGTGCGTGCATGCATGCATCTGTTTTCCTGCTACACCCTTCCCAGCAACTTTTTTTATCTTGTTGAAGAACTCTTATTTGTTTACTTCTTGAATGTGATGGCGGCGGCGGCGGGATATTACGCTCGTCATACACAATTCAAAACGAGCGCACTGCTTTTCTTTTATCCTATTCGCCTCCTCTTTTGTATTGTTTCAGTTTCAAGATGCAACTGGTGCGAAAATATCGTTCCTGTCACCCGTACGCAAGGAAACCGAGGAAATGGTCATTCACGTTGTAGGCGAGAAAATACTTGAGCAAGAATTGAGGTTTCCAGTAAGCCACATAGAATACTCTAAAGCTTTTACTTATGCACTTATATTACGAAATGTAAACCGCTTAAGCACGTTTCATTACTTAGCGCCTGGAGAATCGCTCTGAGCAATAAATCTACTTGATAGCATTAATAAAAGAATCTCTACAGTTACTATTTTACTAAAGTAAAGCGTCTTCTATTGACGCGCTTATTTTTCTCGTCAAAAATAAACTTAATATTATCTTATTCAAATTTTAACTCTTGTACAAAATATATATATATATATATATATATATATATATATATATATATATGAAAAAAAAACTACAAGTCACATTTCGAGTTTAGATCTCATTCATAGAAGCGCGTTTAAAGAGATACACATGATAATCGGGATCCCTATCAATTTTTCTGATATTCTAATTCGAGTGAGAGTCCAATAAACTACATAAACGATGGTTTTCAATCATCTTTGTATAGCATATAAACTATGATAAAACGTATAATAAAATATTACGCGCGTGCGTGCGCCTATGTTGCTTAATAATTTATTATCGATAGTTGAAAAATGGAAAAATAATCTTTTTTTTTATCTCTCGAAGTATTAAGAATAAATGGATGGTAATTTTTTTTTTCTTTTCATCAAAGGGCTTTATGATGTCATTTTCATTCCATTTCTTCTAGATTCCTGTTACATTAAAATTTAAAGTATAATTTTGTAAAACTGGAAAACTCCAATGGTACAATAAAGCTCCATGAAAAATGCGCATTATTGTTTTGTAATAATCGTCTAGGGAAATATTTTAAATATTTTAGTTTATATTAAATATTTTTGAATATTCTGAAATTGCGACTATTGCACAATGACTTGCTTTAGATTTAAATAATCGCTACAAAATGAAATAATAATGTCGAATATTAAAAAGGGGCTAAAATTTCTAAAAGGAGAGATGCAAGATCAGACGACAATTTCATCAGAGTCAATCTTGTGAGGTAATGTCAGACATTTACTTGGAATTTCGTATTGTTCGTACCTTCTTTTCTCGCTATTTTTTTACATTACTCAACACTTTTGTAGTTTTATTATCTCACATTCATTTGTTTTGGCAGCCCGTTTACACACACACGGGTGCAAATAAAATTCGTCTGTCGCATAAAATACACATAGAGACGCGCGTTCGCGCATCTTTTTTTTTTTTTTTTTTTTGTATTAGCAATACAAATTTCATGCCGATAATTCGATAATTTCTTGCGTTTATCGTACGTCGTCGCCAGGTGGTGGTGAATTAATGCTTGTTTAGCTCACAGAAATTAAGCAATGGATCGTGAAAGTCCGATGGTGAAGTACGACGTCGATATGTAATTTTGATTATCCAGAAATCGTCCTCTTATATTTTAAATGCTTTATGGAGATTTGCAATGAGCAGTCGTTGTATATTAAAACTTTTAATTTTCATTTTATATAAATCGTTCTGGAGAATAATTTCGTCTTATGAAAACTACTTATATAACCAGTTCAATTTTAGCAACCTCCTTTCTTATTTATTTTAAATTTAGCAAAATTTAAATGGTTAAAAAAAAAATGAAAGATCGGAGACGAAAATTATCAAATCTAATATTACATTTATAAAGGATAAATTTGTCAATTTTAATAAAATGTGATTTTTAGAAAATTATTCATTAAGAGCGATGTTAGTTTTTAAAAATGAAATACAAACTATTTTTTTTTTTTTTTTTTTTTTTTTTTTTAAAAGGTTTTAAAAATTTAAAGACGCATTTCAGGTTATACTGGAACATCCTTATTCTTCGTGTTTTGGCAAAGAGCATTTTCATTGAAAAGTATTTACAAAATATTTATAATACTTACATATTCTTCGATAAATATGAATCGAATAAAAATAACAATGACAATAAATACAAAAGAATAATATTGGCAGGCAACTTTTGTATTATATTTTTAAAAAACTATTTGTAATATTTTGGTAATTTTACATGCCATTAAATATATTTGCAGAGATTTTTTTATTTAATTTAAAAAAATTAATCATAGTTTGCAATACTTATGCCTATTTATTGATTTATTTATCGACTAATTCAAATATTTATATATAATTAGTGAGTGAAATTTACGAATAATAATTATGACAGACAACTTATTTCTTGTAAGTGAATAAGATGATTTTTAGCATATGTAATTATTCCATTTTTATTGTTTAACGTTTGTCTGCGTATTTCTCAATGGAACACAATTAATAATTTACACAAGTTTTGCTAAATCAGTTTGACATGTTTTGAAATACTCGTCAACTTATAATGAACAGAATTTTATTTACCGTTTATGTCTGGCTTAACTTAAAATATGCATTTTAAGTAGATTTACGATAAAAAAAATATATATCATACTCCAACTATGGAAACTAATATAATTTAATGAATCGATCACGGCTCTGAATATTCATTCGTTTATAATGAGATAAAAATATGTAGTCCAAAGTAAAGTGTGTTGAAATTTCAATTATACGTGCGATCGAATATCGATTATGTGTTTCTATATGTTCGGTCTTAAAATATTGTGAATATTGCAATGATTGCGGGAATTCAATAAGATATTTCCAACTCCCGTCCAAATCATCGAAAATAATCTTTTAATCTTATTTATTTAACGCTGCAATAGATTTGACGCTTTCCATATTTTCACTATTATGCTTTCTACTTTTCTTCTAATATTAACGCTTATGTAGTTTGAAAATGAATTTCAATTTCGAAACTTTTAATAGTTCACGAAGAATTCACATGTGTCTTAATTCAAAAGTATGATTAATGAAATATAATTGATTGTGGAAGATTTATCTTGCGCCAATGAATATTAAAGAAAGTGACCGTTAATACATTCTTTAATTTACTTGTTAGATTACACGCGCACAGCAAAAAGCTTTTTTTCTCATTTTAGTTATCTTGTCTTACATATTCATTAAAATATAAGTAAGTGAGCAAGCAAGGGAACTGTCGAGCAATGCGACCTGAAGTATAGGTTTGCCACCAAATGCCTGTACTTGCAGAAGTTGATTTACAAACGACCGCAAACCAACGGTCAACGATCTTCGTAAATCACGATTAGCGTATGACTTTTACAAATTGTTTTCTAATAATTGAGTGCATTACTTGTATAAGATTATTTCATTATCTACGCTTATGCCTATAAACCCGAAGTTTGGCCTTAAAGAATTTTAATTGAATTTTGTAACGGTAAAAATGAATAAAAATGAGGTAGAAGAAAGTAATATGGAAAACAATGTACATTACAGTTAAAGGAAATCTTTATTTTCAACTCATATTGCGGTTTTTTTGTCGCCTTTAAACCGTTTATTTTTTAAACATATTTTAGAATGTGATAATAAAAATGACATGACAGTTGCACGTGCATATTTAACTTTACTATAAGATAGAAAACCTTCTAAAATATTATATTTACAATGTAATAAAAATTTATAACTTCTAATTTCGTTCAAATATTAAATTCAATCTTACCGAATAAATTTTGATAAATTCTGATTGTTTTTTTTTTTTTTTTTTTATGTAAATCACGAACTGTGCAACACGTTTTTTTTTAACAAAAATTATAAACTTTTTATCACAATGCGTTCGGATTATTGATATTGCATTAAACAATTTCTAGTAAATATTATTAGAAATTATATAAGCAAAATAATATTCGTTATAAAATCACGATTATATAAGAGTTAATTACTATGGCCTTTTTTTAAATTTTTCTTATGTAACAAAGTATGGCTCTAGATTACATTGATGTCATTAAAAAAAAAAAATCTTCCAGAGCGAAGATTCCATAACGTAATACTAAGAAAATATAAATTGTGACTTATGACTTGTTTTCATGAGGGCGACAGAAGCGTCAATTTAACAGGTTCAGGGTTACGAAGAAAACGAATGTATTTCATAAGCTTTGCTTTATTGCACAATAATAAAAAGAAGATGAGAAAAATACCGACAAACACACAAAAGTCATCATAAATCATATTTTTCGTATTTCTCGTCGCGCGCTAATGAAGAAAGCAAAAGGGGCAAGCGGAGATTGCCCGAAAAATTGTAAAATTTAATTAACTGGTAAGCTAAGAAAATGTAATTGCGAGTTTCTCCGGTGAAACATGATTCACTCACGCACGTAATTCCCGGCGCGTCAAGTCGAACGAGAGCGCGCGTACGTACGCGCCGAGAAAGAAGGAGAGAAAAAAATTGTCTCGTGTGTTTACTTTTCAGCAATCAATATTTAACATGCGGAGTCGTTGCTCGAATCAGTGAAAAAAATTTAATCGCGCGATAGATTGGCCGGGGTGGGGAGGTGGCGCCTTTTATTGCGGCGATCGTTCCATCGCCCGAGTCCGAAGAAGCGGCGACGATGTGAATCAGCTGGGTGTCGTTGTCAGCGAATCGGTTTGCGCAAGTCACATACAAGCGCGCAGATATTCCGTGGATAGTGGAAAAGCTCGGATGTGCCATAATTTACGTATTCGTAGAGTCTTATCCAAAATTAAAACGCGAGTGGCGCGAGCTAATGTCTCGGCCATAACCTGGACTCCATCATTGAGATCATCTTTTCATTTTTCCTCCATTAATCTAACGCACAAATTATTTAACGAGATTTAGGTAGTGAATAAGTGTTCATACCTTACCGCAATTGCTTCAAATAACGTTCGACACAGGCATCAATTGTGACGTATATGTGTAACACTTTCCAAAGCTAATCGACGTATTACTTCTGTTTTGACTTTGTTTGTTTTGTTTTGTTTTCTTTTTCTTTTTTTACTACGCTCATATTTTATCATTATATGACGCATTTTCATGTAAATTTCCATATATTCCAGATGAGGATTAAGATGCATGACCCGCAGGTATGGCACTCTTCTTTTCAATACATAATTGAATGTAATACAATAATTTTTTAAAAGCTTGAATGGGAAAGCAAATATTGGTATACGTGTATATATACGTGTATTCATAAGTTGAAATAAAAATTCCATTCATAACTAGATTAGTTTGAATTCTTTTAACAAAGTTTTGAAACACGTTTCCTATACTATTTCTCTCGAGATAATCGTGCAAATTTAATGCAAAAAATGAGTATGTCAGATACACGCGTATATATATATATATATATATAATTCTTCAAGTAGATCATTTTTTTTATTGAAAACTATTTTAGAACAAATACGAAAATTAAAAAGGTATAGATAGTAGCAGCTTTAATATCTTAAATTGATTAAGTCGATATCTTAATACATTTTTAATTTATCCGCAATTAAATCAATAACTGAATATAAAAATAAGATATTAAAATTGTAAAGTATTAATTTTTACATTATTTCTTATTTAAATGGACAGGTAGCATTAAGAAATATAAATTTGATCTATTTTAGGAAATGCTTCATTGTTGTTTAGTTTAATTCATAATTCTACTAATCATAAAGGATGTGTGTTTGGCTAAGCAAAATATTAATAAAATTCTCCATATTGCAATTTTATTATCATACATTAAGAAATCAAAGTTTTTTTAATCGTTCGGAAAATTAATTAAGTTCATTAAGTGAAAAAAAAGTGCGGGAGAACTGGTAGTTTTATTGATCTTCAAATGCAAATATAAAAATTATCGAGCGGAATTATCTTTAGAATTTGGCATTTTATGAAAAGAATTTGTAAATATTTGTAGAGAGTGTAGAAAAATTTAAGTTGAGCAAAGTCTACAAACTCTTGTAATTTATGAGCGTGATTTTTATAATTTTTATACTATATCGTTAATTCTCTTGCGGCACATATTTAACAGAAATTTATCAGTTGTAAACTAGTCCGATAATCAACTAGAGAATGGAGTTTTCAACCTTGAACTCCTTAAAAAGCAGCGGAACGATATTATGAAATTTGTATTCGAGGCGTAATTACAATAAGATGTGCATAGATAAAACGATGCATCGATAAGAGTTTCGTGGTGAAACCGACCTCCAACGCGTAACAGTCGCGTCCCGCACAAATTTTCCAAGCATCCAATGCCCCTCGCCACCGTCTTCCCAGTCTCCCGCCGCCACTGTCCTCTCGCACCCGCCCCGCCCCGTTACTCGTCGCCTCATTTCTACTCTTTCTCAATGAATGCTCTTCCATTTTGTCCCTTGGCAATGCAGATAAGGAGCGATGGCTTGCAGCGAGCTATGGCGAGCGGCCAGTCCCGCAGGGAACGCGTCGCCGACCTGGGCCCGGACCTCCTGGCGACCCTCGGCCTCGTCGTCTCGCCTTTGCCGGATGCCTACCTCTGCGTGCCGGTCCAGCATCCGATAAAGCACCAAGTGGCCCTCGTCGTCTATCTCGTGGGCTTTGCCGACGAAGCAGCGAGCGCCGAGCTCGTCTGCACGAAAATAGTCCAGGAATGCTTCAGGCAAGTATAGGCGCCTAAGTGTGAGCACGCGCGCCTGTGTGCACACTTGGGGAATTGTTCCCCGCGCGCGCACACTCACACACACACACACACACACATATATATATATATATATAGAAGAATCGCGTTTGGCAATGACGCATGAACCCCACACGGTATGCGTGCGCGTGCTTTAGCGTGGCGACCGACTGCGACATGGGGGGAAGAAGGGTCGGAGGGTATACGGTGAGGCGGGAGGAGGATGAGAAGGGGGGCGGAGAGAGAGGTATCATCGATGACGACGAATTTCTTTCTCGCGTCATTTTTCTTTTTCTTTTTGTTTTAGGCTTTTTCGGACTCTGTATGTCTACGTTACACCTTGTTCTTCTTAATCTCAATGTGGATGGATGGAGAGAGACGAATAGATAGATAGATAGATAGAGAGAGAGAGAGAGAGAGAGAGAGAGAGAGAGAGGAAGCTAGGTAACATAATACAGCTCGCAAAATATATTGTCGGTGAAAGGGAGGATCGCGCGGGGAATTGCGCGAAATAATGGTTTTCTTGGAAAATATACACCTTCTTGAAAAGAGCCTAATCAGTTATTCCACCATCTCTTTTTACCGTGCAAGTCGACAAGAAGGAATAAATGAGAGTGAGTGGGGCCACGAGAAAGAGACAAGGAGGGGGGGGGGGGAAGTCGAAGAAGGGGGATAGGCAGACTGATAGGCACAGATATACAGAGAAGAGTAGAGAAATTTTTCATAGGTCGATGAGTACGTGTGTAGTATGTACACGCAGGTATTATCATGTACGTATAGACAGATCGATACGGATGAGTAGGTGCTCGTATATATTAGAGGGCATGATTTATAATAGGCACAATGTTAAATTGAAGTATAAAATAGTAGGATTGAGAATTTGAGATGTTAATGGAACTTTGCTCTATTTGCAAAATTTACATTTTATAATGTTTAATTTTTCACCTCAAATTTCACTTTAATTTTTTAAGGTTACGACAAAAATATATAATCTAAAAATAATTGAAATAAGAGCTTTTAGACGACCGCTTAATTTGAATTATATTTTTAATTACTTTTATTAATATTAATTTTTTGTTATTGTGATTTTCTTTTAAAAGCATGAAAATCATTAAGTTAGGCTTTACTTGCGCCAATATTTAAGATATTTCTTATTTACTTTTTATTTCGTTTTTAGGAGCAATTTTAAGTTTAAATACAAATTTACTCAACGAATAATGAGTTTTTTCAAGATATAGGTAGAAGCTTTAGTTATGGTAAAAGAATTCATTCATCTCGTGTATGGCACATTTTTTACATTTCATTTACCTTACATAGACAAGTAATTTTTAAATTTCTCGTTCAATTTACTAAAATAGCAAGAACAGCGTTGAAGTTTTTAACGAGTGTTTCTGAAGTATGCAGGAAACGGTAAATTAACAAAATTAACAAAATTAATACGGCAGTTAATAACAAAAATTAATAGGGAAAGTTACCAAGGCATTTATTGAAAGTGTGCTAATAAGCTGTAACGCGTTCTTTTAATTTTTACTTTTAATCGTATAAAATGTAAAATGTTATATTAATTTTACACATACGACGGCTTATTAACATTAGTTCTTTTATTCTATACTTTTATGTCGCGTGTTTGTGCGTTCATGCGTGCGTACGCACATTCAAGCGTGTAAATGACGCGCGCGCGCGCGT